TGTGTGTGTTTAAATAGTTATTATGTTGTTATTATTGCTCTTAACTTCTCATGAAGTTTACCGTGAGTTGACAATATTTTGTAAATTCTTATGCACTTGAGGTGTACACCTGCAGAAAATTTGACAATAACTGAAAAGAACAAAATTTGATTGATGAATGAAGATATCCATTTTCCTACTTATTACAGTTATTATTTTATGCCTTTAGTAAGTTTTCCTACTTTTGCCTTTTCAAGATAGGAAACAAGAATTTGTTTGAAAAAATAAACGAAATTCAAAAGGAGCATACAAGGAGTCCATCCAGGACAAGCCAAGTGCGAAACACATAAGTGAGAAGCTAACAATTATGCAAAACTCCTGCCTAATTCGAAACATAAGATAACTTTTTTTCTAAAGAAAAAGGAGAACTTCCTTAGTTGAGGCTATTGACCAAGTTAGTGTGGAAAACTTGAATCATTGCTTTCTCTTACATTTTATCTTAGTGGATGTGAAAATTATAGATTAAATCTCTTCTTGCCATTTGAAGGACGGATACTTTAATTTGAAATGCATCCCATGCAAATTTCAATTGTTCTGCATTAATTCATACAAAGTTTAGGATCTTTTTAAGAGAAAAAAAGTTTGATTGGTTATTCTTTCTTTATTAGGATTCCATTCACTATGAACAAACTAAGTGACCCATCTCATACTCTTCCCTTATATTTTTTTCCCTTTGACTTGGAGGGAGGTTCGCGATTTTGGGGCCATTAACTGTATAATTATCTTTTTCCTCTATATTAGTATTTTAATTGTAGCATATTGCTCAAGTTGTTACTGCAGATATTTTATTAAGGTTTTCATGCATGTATTTTATGTTATTGCAGTTCAACTGTGTTCTTCAAGAAGTCCAATTTACAGACCAGCAGCGGTTTAAGCAATTTGTTTCCCAAAGCAAAGCTAGAATGGAGGTATATTATAAATCTCATCTGGACAAGTTCAACATAACTGATCCTTGACATTATCAGAGTGTAGAGTTTATGTTATGTCATTTTCAGAACCGATTGAGAGGTAGCGGTCATGGGATTGCTGCTGCAAGGATGGATGCAAAGCTAAATGTCGCCGGGTGGATTTCTGAACAAATGGGTGGTGTCAGGTTGGACTGGAATTTACAAGTGATTTGTCTTTTGTGTTAATCTTGCATATTCTACATTTCCTTGTGTATACTCTTGTCTTTGTGAAGTGCACTGTAAGAAACACGGACATATCATTCATGATTAAATTTTATGAAAATATCATTCATGATTTTGAGCTTGCATTGACATTAACATTAAATACATCTTATTTCTTGCTGTTCAATATACATCTTATACGATGATTTGCAGATTTAGGTTCATTTCAGGGCCTTGCCATTTAACTGTGTATATTCTGTCTGCTTAGTTACTTGGAGTTTCTACAAGCTCTTGAAGATAAAGTTGATCAAGATTGGGATGGAATTTCTTCATCTCTCGAGGAGATTCGCAAATCCTTACTTTCTAGGAATGGTTGCATAGTTAATATGACTGCTGAAGGGAAGAATCTTACCAACTCTGAGAAGTTTGTTAGCAAATTTCTTGATTTGCTGCCTAACTCTCCCGTTGCTACTTCTACTTGGAATGCTCGACTACCTTCATCAAATGAAGCCATTGTTATACCTACTCAGGTTAGAATAATATTCTTTTTTGGCATGGTTCCTTTTTGCATATTTTGTGGAGGAATAATTCTAAGCTGTTACCTTCTGCAGGTTAATTATGTTGGAAAAGCTGCTAACATTTACGACACTGGTTATCAGCTTAATGGGAGTGCGTATGTTATCTCCAAATACATATGTAATACATGGTTGTGGGATCGTGTTAGAGTTAGTGGTGGGGCATATGGAGGCTTTTGTGACTTTGATAGTCACTCAGGTAAAAAATTGCGCTGTTAAATGTTCGCATGGAGTTTCAGTTGCTTATGTTGTTACCTAACGTTCTGAAATTTTCTGTAGGAGTATTCTCCTTCTTATCTTATCGCGACCCCAACTTGTTTAAGACACTTGGTGTATATGATGGAACTGGGGATTTTCTCCGACAATTAGATATGGATGATGAGACTCTTACAAAGTCCATTATTGGGACAATTGGCGATGTTGATTCGTACCAGCTTCCTGATGCCAAGGGTTATAGTAGGTATGTACACATCTATCAGTTCTTGGTTTGTAGGAGAGTGAAGATATATGTAAGGGTCACTGTGAACCAGAAGGAATCGGGAAGAGGAAGGAAATGTTTTTCCTTTTAATGATTATTGTTGGAAACAATCCTGTGTATGCCCCTCATAATTCCACATCTAATGTATTGCATACAACCTGCCACAATAGCTCGTTGGTGATGTCACGTTGGTTCTGAATTTGCTTCTTATTTCCTGAAACGTATGAATCTTTTCTCCTCACTTCCTCCTTTTTTTCCTCCTGCAGTTTGTTGCGGCATTTACTGGGAGTCACAGAAGAAGAAAGGCAAAGGAGACGAGAAGAGATATTGTCAACAAGGTAAATATTCTTTTCATTGGTTGATGAGTTGACTTGATATTCAAGTTGTAAGGCATGCCAAGGATATGACACCACTAAGGCTGTGCTTTTGAAGAAACAACCTTTGTTGTTATCCCGTCTTTGTCATCTTGATTACTGCCCTTTCAACGATTTTCAAAGGGTACTTACGAAAAAGTTAGATTAGAACCATAGAAGGAAACTTGAATGTTCTGCTAGCCAACGTGCCTTAGTTGATTAAATGTATAACTTATATTTTTCCATATGAGGTATCATCATCCTCATAGCTGTTCCATTTTCATTTTTGGGCGATAGGCAGCTCACGCGATGCTACCTTTATTATACGTAATGAGTATTTTTCCTAGTTCACTATTTTTACTCATTATTCCTTTGTCCTGCAGCGTGAAGGACTTCAAGGAATTTGCAGAGGCAATTGATGCGGTAAAAAACAAAGGGGTTGTGGTTGCAGTGGCATCTCCAGATGACGTTGAAGCAGCACATAAGGAGCAAAACAACTTCTTTGAAGTAAAGAAAGCCCTCTAAGCCCTCCCAGAAAATGCTACAGATATAGGCTTTTCTGTAACCCCATTCCCCCATTATACAGCAAGGGACGCTCAATTTATTGTTCCATTTTTACCCCGTTTTACACAAAGCAATACATACAATGCAATCATATTAGATTAGCAAAGAAATTTTGAAGCAGTGTACCACCAATTCCTTTGACTCCTTAAATGTGAGTTAAAAGTCTTCATTTTTCCGTCTCCTTTATCCTCTTTTACAATCAATTTTATGCCGGTAATTTGTCGATAAACTCGTGAAATTGCCATCGCAGTTTCATTTTGAACTGAACATATATAAATATCAGCTTAGAATCGATATTTGACAGAAAATTGAATTGATAAATATCAGCTTAGAATCGATAAATAACAAACATCAAATTTAAATATCAGCTTAGAATTATACAACTTACACTCCACTCGATATGTCAAATTAAATTATTATTTTATTACATTTTAGTGTTGATTTATTTTTAATTAAAAAGAAAAGAAGAGAAAAAATAATAAAATATTCATTTGACATCTTGCTTTTGGGATGTCAAAAATATCTCAACATCCAGCTTTCATTCCACATCATCTTTGACACATCAGTTTGAGTGATGTAAGATGTCATTACTACTGAAGAATTTTGGCTTATCTTGAACACGTGGATGTTAAGCTTTGTAAATGTTTTCAAATAGCCGTCTGGGGCTGTATCAGATACGCATGGTTTTCAGCAGCTGCCTGAAAGGGTGAAACTTGCCATAGATGGTTGTTATTTGTCTCATTTCCCAGTCCTAGCTTTCCCATTTAGCATAACAAGGTTCAGACCAAAAAGTAAAGTCAGGTATTCATAAGATGGGCAAGTTGGTCTGCCCAAATGTTTAAAATCACTGAATGCAAATGGTTAAAATCATGAACGAGCAAAATAGGATCTAAACTACAGAACATTTTAAAATTGGATGGAAATTCTTTGCTCTGAAAAAATATCAGAAATTTGAGGAGGGTCGAACTTGTTCAAGTATGTTATTCTTGTAGTTAAACTCCCATAATAAGTTAATTAAGAGTTTTCTTAAGCTACAATACATATTGGTTTGGTCAATTGTCCACGCGCTTTTGGGTTTGTTATCAACCATTAGTTGATGTAGTATCCTCATAATAACTATATGTCTATCGCTTCCATTACGTGGTGGTCACATACGTTGCAGGAAAATATTACTCGTTAATAAGTTTATTGAAATTCGGCATTACTATTTCCAATCGATAACTAAGAGGATATAATAATAAATTCTGAAAGACAGAAATGTTTCAACTATGGACTATCAACTCTACTTTCCTCAACTATTAATACTAATAGAGTTAACAAAAAATATAAATTTCTTTTTGTTGCTAATTCTCAATTAAGATTTTCTTTTATTTTTATGATTTAATATTAAATTATGCCAAACTTTGAACTCAAGCTTGGCTCGTCCCAAATGGGAGCCAAGCTTAGAACTCTTGTTCTATTCTACAACAAACTAGCCATATTTCAAACTCAGCTCGGCTCGTCCCTACCAAGAATTTTGAGCAAAATATTTCCCTCCCTAAACCATCCCCATACCTTGACCATAAACACAAAACCATCCCCATACACACACAAATTAATGACAAACCCCAAATCCATACGTTAAGTCTCGAAAATTTGCTGGACAAAACGAAAGTGCTTTTCCGTACGGTCAGCTCTGTATTGTTCTCAGCACCGCTACCTGCCCGTACGGTCAGCTCTGTAATCACACAGGCACGTCGCGCTTCTCCATATAAACCCACGTCTCTCCATTTCTAGAAACCCAAAAACCCCATTTTGAAGACATTTGCATTTGCTCCTCCTCTTCTTGTTACCTTCTTCCCAGTCCCACTGTTTCACTCAGAGACAGTGAGACGCCATAAAAATGGCGGGGGCTACTACTCTGCTTCGTTCTCCTCGCCGAATCTCTCGTTTTGCCTTACCATCATCTTCATCTTGTTCTTTCTCTTCAGTTTCTGCTCCTAGAAACCACCGCCACCGTCCGATTCCGGACGTCCCCACCGCACCCTCTCTGCTCCGAAGCCACATAATATTACTCCCCTCTTCCTCCCACCCCCATGTCACAACCCACTTCAGGTGCCTCTCCTCACGAGCCGTCCCCGCTTCTTCTGACACCCCACCATCTGGTACATAACATGACTATGTTCCACTTCAAATCCCAAGCTACCATCTTTTTGTTATTTTGCGATATAATCGATTTTTTTTCTTGTGGGTACAGAGTGCCCGGAGGTGAAAGATGAAGTTTTGGACAAGCTAGGATTCGAGAAGGTTACCGAAGAGTTCATTGGGGAGTGCAAGTCGAAAGCTTTACTTTTCCGGCACAAAAAGACCGGTGCCCAAGTCATTTCTATGTCCAACGACGATGAACAAAAGGTCTTTAGCATTATTTTCCGGAACCCACTGTGAGTGCTCTTCCAAAATGTCTCCTTTCCTTTTCTTTTTGGTAAAATGAAGCTGTCCATTTATGCATTTTCAAGAATCATATATATATATAATGTTTTGGAACGAATGGGAAAAGCCTCCTTGTTTATCTATTTAATCTATTTTCTTTTTTTTGGGTTAAAGCCTCCTTGTTTATTTAACTGTTGATGCAGGAAGGATTCCACTGGAATTTCACAAATACTGCAACGGAGTGTATACTGTGGGTCAAGAAAGTACCCTGTGAAAAATCCATTTGAGGAGGTGATTGGAGGGACCTTGGGTAATTTTTCGGAAAAATTCATATATTCTGATAGGACTTGCTACGTAGTTACTTCCGCACATACAAAGGTAAAACGGGTTGTGAAAGTTAAGGAAAAGGGTCTCTGTTGTATCTACTCTGTATTCTAACAACAAGGTCGTCATTTTTATATCAGGATTTTTATAATCTGGTTGATATGAACCTCGACGCCGTCTTCTTTCCCAAATGTGTGGAGGACTTACAGATTTTCCGGCAGGAGGGTTGGCATTTCGAGCTCAACGACCCTTCCGGGGACATATCTTATAAAGGTTGCACATCCGATTGATGTTCCCAGTTCTCTTGTGTACTGGTTTTTAATTACATTTCCTTTGGCAAAGTTCCATGTTTCTGGCGTACAAATTCCATTAATTTCCACGTATGAAAATGTGTTAATTTCTTCGTAAATAATTTTTTGCTTAGGAGCTGTCTTCAATCAGATGAAAAAGTATTATTCTCAGCCTGAGCCTATAAGTATATTAAAGAAGACTACTCGACAGGCAAGTTTTCTTTCTACTTCCTTTTTGTCCAATTGTTTATTGTCTATGTTTGTGACATTTTAGCAGGTTTACATCAGAACTCAACTGTTTCTCTCTCAGTTCATGTCCATAGGAAATCTTAAGAGCTACACAGTCATCTTTTATCATTGATGACTAGAGAGCTACCAGTTTGGTTATTATGTTTCCTTAGTGTCATCTTTTTTGTTTTCATTATTCATTTCGATGTATGTTTAATATATCTGGTTTCCATTTTGTACAGGCCATTTTTCCAGAGACTACATATGGTTTTGACTGTGCAGGTGATCCAAAAGTTATTCCCCAATTGTCATTTAAGGAATTCAAGGTTTGTTTGTTCACTAAGGAGGAGGATTAGCTATTTTGTACATCAGAATACCATGATAAACTTTAAAACTGTTACTAACTTTTTATTTTAGATTCTAGACTCTGATTTTCTCGAAGTGTGTAGTACGTTGTTGATGTTATATTAGCACATTAATTCTCTGCAATTTTTTGGGGAATGCCCCAGAAAATCATCCTAATTTCTGAATCATTTGAAGGACACATTCCAACTACCATCATCTCATTTGGTTGTATAATTATGGTATTTAGGATTTTATTACAAAAAGGTTTTAAACAAATAATTCTATTTTAATGAAGTCACAGTAACTTCTAGTAGCATTACCTCCTTTTTTTAATCTCTAATATTCTGATTAGTCTCTCTCTCTCTCTCTCTCTCTCTCTCTATTGGGCTGATGCATATGCCTGGTACCATCTTCTGCCAAATTGTCTGAATGTCAAGCAAGTTATCTATAAACATATGATTCTTCTCTATATATATGAACTGTTTCGTAAAGTTTATTTAGTACTAGTTATTTTCTTTCTGAGTTTCTGACGATAAAATTACAGGAGTTCCACCGTAAATATTACCATCCCAGTAATGCAAGGATATGGTTTTATGGAGATGATGATCCAACTGAGCGCCTGCGCATTTTGAGTGGTATTGAAATAGATCCCACATGTGACTACTTTGCCTGCAAAGCATCTTGTGGCTATTTTGGCCTTTACCTTAGAAGAGTGGGGAGTTTTCTCATATCAAATGGCTACTTTGATGCATGACTGTTATGACTTATCAACTTTACTATATCTTAAAGAAGGTTGTCAAACCTGTAAATCACAAATATCCCTCCATTTCCGTTTTGCCACCAACTTGTTTTCAAGAACTGAAACAGAGTTTACTTAAAATTCAGATAAGGAAATGAACAGCTGTTAGAGCAATACAATGGTCAACAATGTCTTTTCTTATGTAATTTTTTTTCCTTGTGATGATTCAGATGAATGACATAAGTTTAAGATTGTCAAAATTAATTTTGAAACTTATATCTGAACCATCTTACTCTCTCTCAGAGTACCTGGATATGTTTGATGCAAGCTCAGCTCCAAATGAATCGAGGATTAAACCACAGAAGCTATTTTCAGAACCAGTTAGGATTTTTAAGAAATATCCTTCTATTCCATTTGCTGATTTAAAAAAGAAAAACATGGTATGCCTCAGTTGGTTGCTCTGTGATGGGCCTCTAGACATGGAGACTGAGCGGACGATTCAGGTTTTGCTTCATCTTATGTCGGGAACTATTTTTTCTCCACTGAAAAGAATCTTGCTTGAAAATGGCTTTGTAGATGTTTTTATTGAGGTTTCTGTTGATCTCCTTCAACCTCTATTTAGTGTTGGGGTGATGAGTGTTTCTCATGATGACATTTTAAAAGTAGAAGAATTAGTCATGAGTACACTTAAGAAATTAGCAAAGGGAGGCTTTCATTCAGATACTCTGGAAGTATCCTTGAATGGGATGGAGTTTAATCTCAGGGAATACAATGATGAACCATATACTCGAGGCGTGTCCTTATTGGTTCGATCCATGGTAAGATATACACTCTTTAGTTTTGTTTTCTCCTTTGTTTTTTTTTTCTTTGTCGATAAAATGCCTGGCATGTATTATAGCGATTTATTCTTGGTCATGAGCTTAATATTTATTCTCTATAGGATAAATGGATATTTGATATGGATCCCTTTGAGCCATTAAAGTATGGGACATTTTTAACGGCACTGAAATCCAGAATACAAAAGGAAGGCTCTAAGGCTGTTTTCTCTCCTCTGATAGAGAAATTCATTTTGCACAATCCTCATAGAGTTGTGGTAGAAATGCAGGTAATCAATTAAAGCATTTTGCATTAAACTTTGTGGCCATGTTTGTTATTCCTAACCAGCTACTTCTTTGTCAGCCCGATCCACAAAAGGCTTCTCGTGCTGAAAAAGCTGAGAAAGAAATTCTGGGGAAAGTTAAAGCAAGCTTAACAGATAAAGATCTCGCTGGCCTGGTACGTGCTACACAGGAGCTGCGACTGAAGCAGTCAACTCCTGACCCACCAGAAGCTATGAGAAGTGTTCCAAGCCTCTCTCTGCAAGACATTCCAAAGGAACCTACTACTGTTCCAAAAGAGGTGATCTTTACCTTAAATTTCTGGTTTCTTATATATGTTTAAGTTTGATATGAGTTTCCTTATGGGTTAGTTTCTGCTAGAATATAAAAATAAAAGCGCATCTGTTATATGTAGGTTGACTATATCAATGGAGTTAAAGTATTGCAGCATGATCTCTTCACAAATGATGTCCTTTATACTGACATTGTGTTTGATATGAGTTCAGTAAAGCAAGAGCTTATCCCTTTGGTACCCCTTTTCTGGTAAGATGCTATCTTCAATATAAGTAACCTAATTTGTCATTACTATTTGGTTTCATCGTGAACACGACACGACATGATGATGAGCCAGAGACTATGTCATTGTGTTCATTTTAATTGCCTGTCATTAATTAAGAAACTAACAAGGCTAACCTTTATCCTCATTCCTGACCACCTGACTCAATACCAGATTGATGCCAACGCCCTTTTTTAGTTGAATCTTTTTGTTCCATTAGACTTTCAGAAACCTATGCTCAGCTCTTAAATCATGTCATCCTGAAGGGCAATGTCGTAATTTTTGTAGAACACCTGAGTATAGTGATAACTTTACCTTAAATTACATTTGGAATTGTGCATAATAATAGAACTGCATGTTTGTTTGTTTTTTTTTTTTCACAAGAAAGTTGTGATTACATTCACTTTCTGTTAATTCCAATGGTTATTCTGCATGCAACACTCATGTTATAGTAAAACTGAATATTTCTGTGGATATCCAGTGATTGTTGAATAAAACACTAATTGTTTCGGCTAATTATACTTACAAAAGCAACGAAAATATTCTTTAACATCTTAATCGCAAAGCGTCAATAATGGTAGTAGTAGTTGCAGCCCCAGTATGACAATTATGCTCGCCGTAGTAATGAACTGATTCTCTACTTACATCAGCAGTGCTGTATGTTGATAATAATTTTGAACTAGCAGTGAACCTCTACATGTTTACAAAGAAGAGTCTTATTTAGAAAAACAAAAAATTGTTTTAATCCAAATTTTTTTTTTATCCTTTGTTGACTATATCATGCTGTTCTTGACAGTTACGCATTGCAAAACATGAATACAAAAGACACATGTTTTGTTGGTCTTCGTCACTTGACTCTAAGAAAAACTGGTGGAATATCAATTGAGTCAATGATACGGTGCACGGAAGATCCCTGTTGCCATATAATTGTTCGAGGGAAAGCCATGGCCAAACGTGCTGAAGATCTATTTCGCCTGGTATTCTTTTCCCTTTTCTTTTCATAGTGAGCAAATGAGTGTTTCTAGTTTCCTTTTCTTCATATCCGATCAACCGGGCAGAGGGAATTCGAACTTGGGTGTGTGTGTCTAAATAATTTTGTATGCTATTAGTACTTATTGGTCTTCAGTTAACTTCCTCCATCAGTTGACAATAGTTTTTCTGATATGGGCCTGCCTATGCACGTAGGTTTACATCAGAACAATAACTGAATGCTGATTGAATCCATTTTCCCACACATTGTAGTAGTTAATCTGTCGACTATAAATTAATTATATATATATATATATATTTTACGGGAAACAAGAATTTTAGCGAAAACAGAAACGCAATGCAAAAGCTGATGGCATGTTGTTGCAGATAAACTATCTTCTTCAAGAAGTCCAGTTTACAGACCACCGGTGGCTTAAGCGGCTTGTTTCCCATGCTATAGTGCAGGTATTATAAACTTCTATTCGGAAAAGCTCAACATTGCCGGTCCGTAACTTTAACTATTAAAGCTTGGGGTTTATATTATGTCATTTTCAGTACCAACAAAGTGCTGAACTTAAAGGTCAGAACATTATTGCGTTAAGGATGGACGCAAAGCTAAATGTTTTTGGGTGGATTCGTGAACAAATGTGTGGTATCAGGTAGGACTGAATTTTTCAACTGATTTGTCTTCTGACCTAGCCTTTGCATATCCTAACTGTTCTTGTGTCTATTCCTGTCTCTGTGAATTGTATTTTTCAGGAACTTGGAGCTATTGTTTATGATTTCCAGTTTGCTAACCACTTTGTTCTTGCTATTTATTATACATCTTTTAAACTATGTAAATATTTAGGTTCATTCCAAGACCTTGCCATTTTAACTTTGTTATGCATATCTCTTGAGATAAAGGAACAATTTATGTCTGTTGAGATCTTAGCCTATATTTGAGATGAATAACTGGAAACCTTTTAAGTTCTGTGCAATGATTTTCTTATAGTATGGATAATTCAGCATTTACTACGGAAAAATGACGGGACCAATACAGTTTCTCATACAGTTTGTATATTTTTTCTTAGTCACTTGGAGTTTCTACGAGCGCTTGAAAAGAAAGTTGATCAAGATTGGGAAAGAATTTCTTCATCTCTCGAGGAGATTCGCAAGTCCTTGTTTACTAGGAAAGGTTGTATAATTAATATGACTGCTGAAGGGAAGAATCTTACCAAATCTGAGCAGTTTGTTGGCAAATTTCTGGATTTGCTGCCTGGTAACCCTCCCTGTGCAACAACTACTTGGAATGCTAGACTACCTTGTGTAAATGAAGCCATTTTAATACCTACTCCGGTTAGAACTGAAATCATTTTCTGCTTGGTTCCTTTCTGTATATTAAATTATTTGTGGGGAGTGATTGTCCTTAACTCTTACGTTCTACATTTTTTTTTTGTTGGTCTGATACGTTCTACAGGTTAACCATGTTGGAAAATCTGTTAACATTGATAACACTGGTTATCGGGTTAATGGAAGAACAGATGTTATCTCCACATTTCTTGTTTGTGCACGTACATGGTTGCCTGATCGCACAGTAATTAGTGGTGCAGTTTATGCCACTTATCGCTCTGATAATTACTTAGGTAAAAAAAATTTGCATGGATTTTTAATTGCTGTTTTAGAACCTCACTGACAAAAATTTTATGCAGGAGCATGCTCTTTCTTACCTTCTGGTGACACCAACTTGTTGAAGACCCTTGACCGATATGATAACACTGGAGATTTTCTACGACAATTAGAAATGGATAATGATACTCTTAAAATGGCCATTATTCAGGCACTTAAAAACGACTCATGCAAGTATCTTGATCCCAAAGCCAAAGGTTACAATAGGTATGTGAACATCATGTTTTGTAGGAGAGTGGAGACATATAAGTGTCACTTGATTCAAAAGGGAACAAGAAGAAAGAAAGAAATATGTTTCAGCATAGTTTATGAACTGCTTCCCATCATTTTCTTTTTCTTGTAGTTTGGAGCAGTACTTAACGGGAGTCACAGAAGAAGATAGGAAAAGGAGACATGAAGAGATGTTGTCAACCAGGTAAAGAGGCTGTTAATTGTTTGGTGGTTTTAGCTGATAAAGTTGTGAGGCAGATCGTTGCCATCTTGACTAAATTTTGAACAATCTTTAAGCGATGCTTCGGCAAAAACTATATTAGGACAATGGAGAAGGGAATTTGAGCATCCTACTTATTGTTTGTCTGACCTTAGTTGATCATTATTTACTACTTATATTTGTCCAACTGAGGCATCATTATCTGAATTGTGTACACTATTTCATTTCCTTTGGCCATAGACAACTTCCATGATGCTTGTAAAAGCTAAAATAACGTTGATTAAGGCTCATACCTGTGAATATTTTACGACGTTACAATATTTTTACGTTGTTATACGCCTTTGTGACGCAGCTTGAAGGACTTCAAGGAATTTGCAGATGCATTTGACGCAGTCAAAGACAAAGGGGTTGTTGTTGCATTGGGAGCACCAAATGATGTTCATGCAGCACTAAAAGAGCGACCTGACTTCTTTCAAGTAAAGACACCCTTCACCCGTGCAGAATTTTAGGTTGCCTAGGATATGGGTTTCTTCTGTTTTGGCCTTTCAAGTAATTAGACTTATATGCTCAGAGCCGACTACCTTTTGCCAGTTCTTTGTAAACAATGAGTAGAATCTTTGACTGGATGTTACGTACCTTCAACTGTGGACATACTAATGCAATTGGTGTGCCAGTCCTGAGATTATCTTTTCCTATATATTATTACTATTGAAATATTGTGATTTGATGTTCAATACTTAACATAATCAGGGTTAGTCCAAATTTTAACCCAAAAAAATTAATATATTGTTAGATGGGTGGCAATATATTTCTTTATCATTACTATATGTGATAAAGAAAATTGAAATTAATGCAAATGTTGGTTAGGTTAGTTGGCCAAGGCAGTGTGTTCGTTCCATTGCACCTGAGTTCAAACCCCCTTCCCATACATTAGAATAGTTTAGAATATTGCCACTGTCAAGGAAAAAAAAAAGACAAAGAAAATTGAAATGATATATTGGACAATAGCATTTAATTTAAAGCTCAAAACCGCTTCTAGTTTTGTGCCTTGGTCATGTGGCTTGAGTCTTGTTGATCTGTTCAAATGTTTGCCTTCTGCAGTTATTCACAAAGTACCTGTGACCCTTATATAATAAGAACTGCATGCAGCTTCTGCCATATCCATAAACTTGTGTATAGTACATGTTTTCTTAGGTATTAGTCAGAGGTTTTTTTTCTTTCTTCCGCTGTGAATATTTATGCCCATATCCATAAATTTGTAAAATGGGTCATGTCATCTCTTTTGTTTTGTTTGTTACCTTCAACCAAGGTACTTCTGTTGCTGCTTCTTCTGCTTGGCTAGCTGCTGGTACATGTGATATATAACATTGCTGATGTCAAAAGTGCTTGCATGCCATCATAACATTGTTAACAACAAACTTAATTAAGCCTGCAGGGGGATAAAAATCCTCTGCTAGCTTCGTCCCGGGTCCTCTTCCACTATGTACCTGCCGTCAAGTGTATAAATCCCTCACCGGAGAAGTCAAGTCATGCACCTCATTATAAAAGATTGTGTGCATCTTATTGTCAATTGATTTTGAATTGGATACTCTAATTCTATTATTATATATTCGTTTTTCGGCCATAAACCGATGATTATTGCTAATGACTATCGTACGGCAGCCTTCTACTTGTTTTGTTTATGTAAGAATGCATAGACCGAGGACTTGCATGGTGGTCCACTGGTCCAGTCCCTATTATAGGGTTAGCTATACATAAATACATACATATATAAATCTTTTTCAATTTCTCACCCAACATTCCTGCAGACCTGATCCTAAGTATATATAATCAGCTGGCATATGACACGGACCTAACAATTTAATAACTAATGACCATCACTCAATCAGCTGGCCCTTGTAGCAGAGGAAAGGATTAACAGTCCTAGTACTAAATAGTCCCTACCTCTAAATTTCCCTTAATAAGACAAGAGGGAACGTTCCTCTTAAACTTAATCTGCAGTTTGGTTGATCAAAGAGCAACCATTTATAATGCCATAATTGGCATTTGAATTTTTTTGAACTTGTAATTATTGCTAGATCTGCACTAACATGTTTCAAGAAGGGAAGTCAAGTGATTGCAAGTAATTAATTGTATCCCTCTACGAAAATGTAAGCATGTTAGGTCGATTACATGGTGGCCTTATATGGTCCTTTATTTATATACATTTGGGCAAACAGAAGACAATATATGAGAGTCCTCCCCTTCCCAAGTTAGCTATATACAATCACAATGACATGCATCTACACATGTGTACAAAAGACACACAAAAATACACACATAGGTGCAGTGGCGGACCTATTAAGGTACAAGGAGGTGCACTGCACCTCCTCTCGCTTGAAAAGTCATCATAGGTGCTATATATTGCACATCTGCTCAACTTGAGAGGTGCACTCTTGGTGTTTGACGAAAAGCCTAAACGAATTCAGTCTGCTGATGCATTGTGCTGTGTTGTGTTGCGCAACACGCTTGTGTTTATTTATTTTAAAAAATCCTAGCTAAAATTGCACTTCCCCTAAAAAAATCTTGAGTCCACCATACGTACATCGAGACATTACATTAAACACCTACAAACTAGACTAGTACCAAGCAGGTACTACAAGTACATTAAGATTTGAACATGCAATTGATTATTTGCACCATTTTGTGACATCACTATTAGATGAATTTACATTGAATTCTTATACTAATATTAGCATTGTAGTTTATATTTTTATACAGGCGATAATGAGGAAGGGGAGAATCGAACCTAAGACCTCAAGTGTAGGGGTCAATGCTCTTATGAAATTTAGGTATTAGTTAAAAGTTGTGAGAAAGGGAAGTAAACATTTGGTACATAATAGGTTTGTCGATACCTATACCTATATAGTGTGGTGTAAAGTAAAATTTGGCATAATGTATCACTATCTAGGCCAACTTTTGGTCCCATCACTTAAGTCCCATGCCTTTTGTACTTGTGGCAACATCAATGAGAGAAGAGTGTTCTTACTCCATTTTCTTTTTGGCTGTTGTGGGGACGAAATTGGGTTGGTGCTCACTCATTTTCCAATCAATTCACCCTACGAAACTGAGTCGTACCAAAAATTTGGGAAAAATGTTTTGTTTGCAACCTTTTTCTCGACTCTCTTTTATTTTTTTCTTTTGCTTTCTCATGAGGTGGGGATGTGATATAGTCACTTGAGATTCACTTCATATGAGAGAGAGAGGAAAAATAATTGGATTCTAAAACATTTTGGTGAAAAAGAAAATGTAAATGACTCATGTAGGGTCAACATAGAAGATTGAGTTTCTTCTTTACAGGGGTAGATTTTGTCCCAATTCAAGCCAATCATTCACTCAAATTCATATTGGTACCAGTTCTAAAATTTGAGAAGTTTTTTTTTCCAACCGTTGTGGATATAATCAGAAATTGAGAGAAAAACAAGTAGGAGATTGGTTTGGTTTTGAAGACCTCAAATACTAAGATTGTTTTTATATATAGCAAATATATAAAACTTCATGAATCCAACCCTTGGCCAAGACCTCAGGTACTAATAATTAGATCTACAAAACATGCGATAAGATCCCAAAATACTTAATCTAGGCCATAGCATTGAGTTCGTACCAAACTTAAAAGAGGGCCAAAATAAAAAAATGTAAATCGTTTCTATTCACTTTACATATAATCCAAGTAACTAGACATAGTGAGAAAATGAGTTAGGATCAATTAGGATAGATCGAAGATTATCCGTTCTAATGTAACAACCCGAATTTGACATTACAACCAAATTCCTCACTAGCTACAAGAAAAATGAGCACACAACAAATTCAAAGTACAAGAATTACTAAATTTAAAACCATATATGATGACCAACACCAAAATCACATAAGTAAAAGATAATATTTCTTCTTGTTGAGCATTTATCTTACATAACTATATCACAGTAAGAAAAGGTAATTGAAACTCAAATATTTAAAAAATAATAATTTGTCAATGGGGTATAAGTCAGTTGGTTGAACTCTTCCACCTTCACTCATGTGGACAGAGGATCGAAACCTCAAGACACCCAATGAATATTTGTGTAAACCCCCTTCTCCAATCGCTTGTACTAAAAAATAATAATAGTTTAGAGAGAAAAAGAGAGGACCAATTAGACGTCATGTTTTTGTAAAGGTGGAATATTATGAAAATGTACTATTTCAAAATTTTAGAGTGAAAATAGCGTCACATAACTATAGGAGTTGCTCTCACCATAAATTCTTTTAATCTTTTCTGGTGAACTCCCACTATTTAATTTATGAATAGTTAAAGTGAATTATTATGATATTAACTGGAAAAAAAAAAATTGGTGGGATGATAGGAATTACACAGAGCAGAGGGTGTACAAATTTGGGTAATAATTATTCAATGGCAGAAGGGTGACATTTAAAACGACATTAAAATCTTGCGCTTCAGCTCCACAGAGGAAGAAGCGGATGTAGTTTGTTTCTAACTTTAGACTTTAACACGCCGGGATCTTCGTAACGGCACCGTTGCCGTTCTACTGTCACCCTTTTACCCATTCACCCCAGAAGTGAGGACCACAAACACAGTGACACTGTAAAAAGGTAAAACGGTAAAATCAAGCCAAACCCCACCCCGAAATTTTATTGATGTTTTCGTTTTTCTGTTGCTATAAAACGAAATCTGAACCGTCCAACAAATCACTTCCTAAACATCGCTCTTGGATCTCCCACTTTTCTCTCTCCTCCCTTCCTCTCCTTCAAAATCAAAACCAAAAATAGCAAAAAGAAAGAGAGAAGCACACACTCTGTGCGTGTGTGCGTGCACTGCTCTAGCCTTCTTTACACAGAGAGAGAAGAGAGAGAGAGAGGGATGGGGGACTGTAACTGTAAGCGAATGGCGGCCATGGACGACTCAGCCACAGGCGTGTCGAAGAGGAGAAAATTCAGAGCTTCTTCATCTCCGCACAAGCAACGCTTCTCACACTCAGAGGCGCCATTGCCGCCAAGTCCACCAATGCTTCATCTCCGCCCCTCTCGTTCTCCTCAGCTCCTGAATTCCTCCGATTCTTGGTCGAGCTTTTGCTCTGATCACTCTCCTCCTTCCTCTTGCTGCTCCAGCAATGAGCTCAACGACGTCGTCGTCTCCCACAGCTCGCCGCTCCTAGATCTGGAGGTGAATCTCCATTCCCTAGCTCGTACCGAGCTTCCGATTTTTCGTTGTTATGAAATGATGGAACAAAAAAAGGAGAGAGAAACTAGCGGACGAAAACAGTGCTTATTTTTCTTGTTTCCGTTAGGATTTTCTCAGAAAACAAACAGACGCTTCAAATTTCTCTCTCTTTGCTTTCCTTTTTTTCGTTTTTT